TTAATTTTGGACTTTTTTTGCCCTGCCCGACATGTATTATAACACTGCATACTCAGTGTTTGCCCCCGAAGGCTTGTGAAAAAAACCACAAACGTACTCGGGTGGGACTCGAACCCATGACCTCCTACTTACTAGTGCAGAGGTCTTAACCACTCGACCACCGAGCTTACCGGTGTCGGCTGGCTGGTTCAAGTCAGATGTAGCAGCGGGTACTGCAAACAACTCTCTCCAAGGATGGATTTGCACTGGATTTACCAACATCTTCCCGGCGCAAATCCATCCTTGGAAACTTGGTTTTTGTTTTCTCACATGGGTAGGCTCTTCGCCTGTGTGTGGGATTGGAAGACGTGCCCCAAGAGCAGATTATTCAGGACACATTGCTGAAGAACGTCCCAAATACAAAGGCACAGTGAGTAAAGGGAAATGGGTCAGATGCAACAAAACATTGTCTGCAAGACGTCAGTTTTTCCCAAATAGGCATTTTTGTCCGAGTTGTAGACTCAAGTCACCTGACCTGGACTCGAGTCGGACTAGAGTCGCTATTTTTGTGACTCGTGGCTTGACTTGCAGCTGTTAGTTTTGACTTGTGACTTGACTTGGACTTGCACATTCTGACTTACCAATGCACGTCAGAAAACTCCTCAATTAAACCCATTAATGTTTTTGGTTTATTAGCTTACACTTCAGTGTTAGACTTCTTTTGGCTCACAACTTCTGTTTTGGTCTTGTCTGCCCATGGCCAAGCCTGAATCACTTGGCTGTGGCTTGAAATCACTCATAGCACGCCTTGGCTTATACTTGGACAAAAAGACTTTTGACTTGGTTGTGTTTGGACCAAATTGACTTGACTTGACCTGTGATCAAATGACTTGTAGCTTAGACTTGAAAATAGCACACCATTGATTTGCTTGCTTCGTCCTTGATGGTTTATTTGCTCGTCTGAATTTCAGAAAGTTGTGCAGTTTCATTCAGTCTTTCATCAAGTGTTTCAGAGAGCTACATTTCACCTACTTGGAGATCAATCCACTTGGTACGTAGTGATACCAAAAAAATTATCAGTTTTCACTCAATTTGATTGTGTATTGCATTTTAGAACAAGAATGCTTTCTTCTCAATTTGTGTATTAGAAGGTTTGTCTACTCCACTGTCATGAAAAGGGACGTATTGTGTGTAAAAAGTTCTTATTCTGGGTGGGAAGTTCCTGTACCATCCAAACAGTTCCAGTAGCATTTCAAAAGTTCCAAGTGAAGTGCCATGTTCTTCCTAAAGTTTTAGTTCCATCCAGAAGATTCGTGAACCATTTGGAAAAAGCTAGTTTCCGTTTAGAAGGGTGTGTTCCAGCTAAACAGTCCAGATGCAGTATTAAAAAGTTCCTTAAAAGTTCCATTTGCATTTAGAAAGTTCCAGTATCTGAACTATCAAGTAATAAGTAGGTTGGTCTGATATATTGCTCACAGTGGTTACAGATTGAAAGATCCATGTCAGAAAAAGTTCCATGTCCCCCAGAAAGTTCCAGCATCAGAATTACCAGCCAGTAAGTAGTCTTTGTTTCTAATTTTGCATGCAGTGGTCACAGATTCAGAGGTTTATATTTTGGATGTCGCCGCCAAAGTTGACTCCAAGGCAGCACCCCTATGCAAGGAGTCTTGGGAGCAGCTTCAGTATGCGCCATCACTGTGCCGAGACCTCTTGCCTGAGGTTTGTAGTCAGGACCCAGATCTTCACTTCATATAGTTCAGCAACTTTACTATTTCCTCTGATTGTGTTTCAAGGATCCTATTTTTCTTTCTTTTCTTTGTTGTAAGATCTATGACACAAGATTGCACGTATGATCTTAAGCCCAATGGTAATTAAAGGTCAACAGTGCTCACCAGAATTGCTATCGGCTTAACGGCTGAATTGTCGGCCCGACTGGGTCTTCGTCAGAGCCTGATTTAAGACTGGCGATTTTGAGAACACTTCGAGCTTCTGGATGATGCGCTGTTCCTTTTCCAAGTGTTAGGGGTTTGAGGTTCACAAGGTGAGGACTCGCGCAAGTCATCACCTGTGTATGGTGGCTCGGAGAAGTGGCGTGCCACAGGGTGTCCGGGAGGATGTCGTCGTACACTTTGTAAATGCTCAATGAAACGGTCTGCCAACCTGTGCTTTGTGTGGCCAGTGTTGTGGATTGGAGTATAGCTTCCACTTGGACTGTCGAAACGGGAAGGGGGGGATGTGCTTGCAAGTATTGCAGCGTGATGGATTGCAGGCGGATGTGCCGATGTCCTTCTTGTTAACATCAGAGAGCAGCGAGAGGAGTGAATGGGACTAAAGTCTGGCCAATAGATCTGTTAGGCCTAAAAGCAACGAAGGAAATTGTGTTCTGCTTGAAAATATTGCTGCAGACCTGCCTGTCGCGTGTGTCCTCCCCTTGACAACCTCTGACGCCCAGCGCTTGGAAAAGGAGCAGTGCATCATCCACAAGCTCGGGACGTTCACTCCTGGCAGTTTGAATGCGGAATCGCCAGTCTTCAATCAGGCTCTGACGAAGGCCGAGTTGGGCCGAAAATCCAGCCGTCAAGCCGTTAGTGCATCCTCCAGTGAGCAGTGTTTATCTAATTTTCTGATTTGTTTCTTAAGATCTTCAGTGCTGTTTTATTGAGTGCTCATAACCAAGTGAAGATTACCAGAATACCTACAGGAGACCGCGCAGATCATTGGATGCAGTCCTCAGGAGTCATAGTACTTGTGGTTCTCACTGAGCAGTAGGAGGTGGTCTGATGTGGTTGGGTGTCTGACCACCGGTCCACTAATTCAAGCCCATTGAAAAAAGTGTAAAATCAGCATTGGTCCGAGCCCCATAACATGAATACCAACATCCCGGAGGTTTCTGAAACACAAATTAAATGATTTTCTGATCCCTAATCTTTCAATTTCTTTTCAATTATTTGTGGGTTAACCAATTGCTTTTTTTATGATTCCCACAAAACGAAATCAACCCCCCCTGCGAAAAGTGATTTTTCTGAAGTCTGCTTGCAGCCACTTTTAAAGTGACAACCCTTAACTTTCTTTGGCACGTAGTTTTTAACCAATCTGCTCTCATATGAAAGCTCAAAGACCCAGGGAGTTGATCTTGGCAACAATTTACTCAATCTCACCATTTTGGGGGCCAAGCAATCTCCGTTTTGAAAAGATAGGGGCACTTTTAATGCTAATGTGATACCAGAAATTCTCATTTGAATTAGTGTGTCAAGGGTCACCTTTCTATACATCCATTCTTACATTTGTGATTTAGGAACTCCATATCAGCCAACTTGCCGCAGGAACGCCTTGCTCCATGAACCTGACCGTGCTGAACATGACTGGTAGAATCTGGAGCCTTGTGTCTGGCGGGGGAACATCTCTGGTCATCAGGTAAGCTTATCACAATACCCACCTACTTGCTTACCCAGAGATGTTTCTCTGCTGAGAATCTTCAGATAGGAGTAACCAAATTTAGCCTTTCA